CACGACGTTTCGACTGCAACACTAGCAATCATCATCAGGTGTGAAAACCACAGCAAGAATTTTTTCTTTAAAACCACAGCAAAAATGTTCTTGAAAACCACACCAAGAAAATGTTCTTGCTGTGGTTTTCACACCTGATAATGATTGCTTGTGTTGCAGTCGAAACGTGATAATTTCATTGTTTTATATTTTTATTATATTATTGTTTCCCTTCTACGTGACTTTAGCGAAAGAACCAAGAACATGATTGAATACATCATAGCAACAACGGAGAGGACGTGGAGGATCTCTAAAAGGGTGCGAGAGCGATCTTGAATCTGGATTTGAAGCTTTCGTGACTGCAGGAATCCATACTCTTTGGTTCTTTCGGTAAAGTCACGTAGGTAGAAAATAATAATTCACGACGTTTCGATCACAACACAAGCGACCGTCATCAGGTGAGACAATAACAGCAGGGAAACTGCTGAAACAGGCCCTGATCTATTATTTTCTTCCTACGTGACTTTACCGAAAGAACCAAAAAGTAGCGATCTTGAAGTTGATTTGGGACTGGATTGGGAGCCATCGCAAGGATCGGAGTATTGGGGTGAAGTGGTCTTTTTGTGTTAGATTGTGGATGATACAGCAATAAACAAACATTCAAATAAAGCAACATTTAGCCCATCGGCATGAGATAATGCACATTTACCAAAAGCGATATTAATTATGCTAATGCCACTAATTTAAAGTGGCTGGTATATCGATAACCGTTTGTCACAGGTTAATGGAGAATGCATATACTGTATTCCAGCCCGTTGGAATACACAGCATTCGACTAACGCTACTGTTTTTTTTTGTATGGTCCGTTATGCGTTCAGTTATGTCTGCACCACATGACAATGCAATGCGTTTCCCTACAAACAAGTACACACACTTTACATTCGCTTTTCAAGGGAAACAAACCAATTTAGGGTGCTGATGCATGAATTGGCTTAACACCAAGGTTTGAGTGCTTAATCCAAAGTAATTGGAAATTCCTGTAATTAATTGGATTGCAATCAGTTTATAGTTTGGACAGAATTTTTTTTTATTTTCATTCTTTCAAGTAAAAATATATTGCACGCTATTTTAATGGGTGTAGTGAAAATAGCACTGCACATATATATTGCTTGTCAATTGTGTCCACCTGGGTTCATTTGTTGGTATCAAGTTTCTCTTCACAAATGTGTGTGACCCTAAACAGCTTTTTGTATTTTGATTTTAATATATATAGCTTTTTGTATATTTAGTTTGTTGGCACCCCCGCATTTCCGATTAGCTACGTACTGTGCGAAAGAAGTTAAATATACAGTACACACATGAAGTTGGCCAATGCGGGAGATAGCGATGCATGGAACGATTTGTATTTATCCAGCGTCTACACGCGACCGCATCTCAAAATGTTGTATGAAAACAGAATTGAGACCTGAATTGTGGAGGAAAGAAAGGAGGCCTATTATATATTTTTTTTAACACAACGCAATACCGAGTAATAAGCAAAGGCAGAAGCAGGAAGGTGTCGAGGTTGGCGCTTGAATAGGGTACAGGGATTGCAGATCATTCCAGCGGAGCACTTTGACTGAAACTGAGCAAAGCTTGCACAAATGACACACCTTCCAAAGTGAATTCGGTCCCTGTCACAAATAGTGCACTGAAATTGGTACGTACAAGCACCATGAAGGAATAAGATCGCGCAAACGTAACTCTTCGTGCTCAAAAAAGTAGTTATGTAGGCCACAGAAAAAAAATCTCAAAATTATTAATTGCAGTATTACCCTGTGTCCACTTTTATCTTTGCATTGAAACCAAATCCCATTAAATTCAAGTCGCACGTTGAAGCCGTGGTTGTGCAGTGTGCTGTCATGCCTAGAATTGGAAACAAACATTGACAACTCATTTCTTTAGAACTGCTTTTTGTGTTTAGTTTGTTGTTGTTTCCCCCCCTCCCACTTCCGATTAGCAAGGTTGGCTACGTACGGGTTTGAAAGAAGATCAACATGCATACATACAACGTGTTATAGGAATTGTAAATGTTGTGGGTTTACTCTCCAACACACCAGTGGGCTGTACTAGTAACGAATTGGCATGTTTTGTTTACGTGACAACCCTTACTAATTGGCTGTGTGGGGTGGTGGCGGGTTTAACGCCACATTTATATTTACGCTATCTAACCCAAAAATCTCTATTATGGATAATATTCGCCGTGAAAGCCTACTTGTTAAACTGTTATAGGATAAAGATTTAAAGCTTTCGTGACTGTTTTAATTATTTTATTGTTTCCCTTCTATGTGACTTTACCGAAAGAACCAAGAATATGTTATATGGTAGTATGAGAGAGTGTTAGCAACGTGGATGTTTGGATTGATAGTGAAACATATTGGCTGTAAAATATCACTGTTGCTTAATCATGATGAGCCTGATGCCACATTAAAATACTTAAGGTGTGGTAGGTTTAACAAAGGGGGGCAATTACAATTCATCAATTTATACACGTAAGTTTATTGTGTTTTGTTATTGTTGGTGTGTAATTTGTTCTAGTTTGTGTGTAGTTGTAAATAATCATTGAAGATTTTTTTTCTCTCAGAAGTCACTTTGAAAAAGAACACATTCATGCGTCATGCCCTAAATCCGCAAACAAATGAGCTCCTAAAGTTACCCACAAAAAACATCTCTTTGATGTTAATGGCAATTCAAGTTCAGATTTTTGTTTTGTGGATGAATCATACTTTCAAGCTATTGAGTTTACCGAAGACTATGAAAATTATACTTAGGTGGTCGTATTTAAAACCAGGATTTCCACAGCAGCTGTTAGATTAGACGTGGAATGTTTGTTCATAATGATAATACGATATGGGCGACTCAATCCAATTAAAGTAGAGTTTGTTTTCCAACGTATGCGGAATTCTGGAATAACCCGTAATTATTAACGCAACAGTTTTTAGCCCGATTCATCGTGTGGGAAGAGTGCCACCCCAATCCCCCCCAAAAAAATATCCTGCGGCCAATTTAAGGCTAAGTCATCCCGAGAGAAGACTCAGAACACAACATTGCTGCTGATGTTCGCCATGGCTGGAAATTGAACCGGAGTCACCGGGTTCGTGAATTACTGCACCACCACCCGAACACGAACCCACACATGCTCGAATAGCAAAAGCAGTGGATTTAGTAAGGGCTATAATTTGTATTATTATTATGTATGTTGAGCTTCTTTCGTACCATACATAGCCAACATAACTTAAGATAATAAGGAAATATCAAAGATAGTTATGAAGGCTGTGAAGACTGTATGCCTAAGTTAACAGAAATGCTGGGGTCACTAGCCAAAGCGCACCTCAAATTAGCACGGTCGGCTACGTACGGTGCAAAAGTAGTTCAACATACATGCATACACATTCATACATTCCATCATCAGTCTCATCCATAGGCTATTATCAAATTTCGTGATGTGTTCTACCAAAGCTAATTTCCTTTTCTTATCATAAATAAGGTCTCTGATTTGTGTTTCTCTTACTGTCTCAGTGTAATTTCAAGCATGCATATATCTTACCTTTCAGCTCATGCTTAGCACACGTTTTCTCATCGGCGCTTGTGTTTAGAACATATATGTAAGCATATTCATGCTGTACACAGTATATTTGGCACAAAAAAAAACAAGAACAATAATGTATGCTCCCATCCCTTGACAAGCCCTACCGCCTCATAGACAGCCGCATGCTCCAGCTGTTGTTTTAATCAGGCTCTGGTGGAATGGTCTTGTTACGAGTGTGGGCCAGCCTAGGGATCATCACAGTGAGCAATGGGGGATTTGTGCCACTGAGAATTCCCATCAGAGCTGATCCCGTGTGTTTGTGCCATGGTTGAGCATAGCACATTCACTCGCAATGACTGAAAGGTCACGTATTTGTTTTCAAAATGTTTCTTTTTTTTTTCTACTGTCACTGAAGAAAGAGGAAGATATAGTCCTTCTTAGTGTCTGGTGTTTATTAATTTTTATTATCTATTTTCTCAAGTATTCCATTTTACTAAAATATGAAGATCTTCCTTTTCAGTGACGGTAATAAAAAAAATCTCATTTTCATTGTTGCAACATGACCTGCAATTTATTGCATTTGTGCGCCGAAGCAGCAACATTGTAATACGATAGACTCTCTGCGGACTGATAGGCCCTGGAACCTGGTGCAAGATTTAAAGTCAAGGTCAAGAGATCATCACATCCAATGTCATTAATGGCACTACACATTGGCCCACTCTGTCCTTGTGCTAGATCCTACAGTTGCTGCGCCGTCAGCAGCTAGAATCCAAGGTTCGCCGTTACAGGATCCCACCCCTGTGTCACCTGACCTGTGGGTGCCAGTCCATTGCATGAGTATTTGGCCGCTATAAATTTCCACATGATAAGCCACTTCGTTGAGCTATCATTTGTGGCCAGGTCGCTTCTGAAAAAGCTAATAGCTCAGTGGGCCTTAGTTATTGTGTTTTTGTTATTTGCTTACCTTTCCTATGCTTTTCACTCCTATCGTATTTTTGTAATGTTTGTTTTTGTAACTTTCTGACCCGCCCCTACTGGACGTCGGTGAAAAAGAGCTTCATAGCTCATCAGATTCCTCCAGTATAAATAAAGATACTGATTCTTATTAGACTTGTACCTCGCCATCACAACCGCCTCTTCCAATTGTTTTTACGATTGTCTTCTGCCACATCGTTTCGAGTCCTCATGCACGATGAACAATCATAATCAGCAATGATCTAAAAGCCGCTGGACGAGGACCTCCAAGCTGTCACCGTCCCTCGCGGTCTCGCTCTGTGACCCGTACGCAAGAGTAATGAACCTACATTTAATTGTTTTTTCATGAAAAATGCTTGCATGGCCTAGCCACTGAGAAAGTGCCGACGTGGTCTTATCTACCCCCCCACTCCCTTCCACTGAGAGCCCAATTTGCCCCAGCATATTGCGTTTATTCCTTGCGTTGTCGCCTCCGCAGGGTTGGATGGCGACGACTTCCTGGCACTGGGGCTTCAAGGCGGCAGGGTGGTTTATCGCTACAATCTCGGCTCGGGGACTGCGTCCCTGCTCAGCGATCCCGTGGACACGCGCCTGCACATGCACACAATCCGCCTGGGCAGGACACTCGCCCGCGGGTGGCTGCAGGTAACGCACCGTGCAAGTTGCCCTTTGTTGCCACGCAGTGTCCCCTTTATTAATCGAAACGAGAATCCTTGTTTTGCGCTGGAGGAATCCGATGAGCTGTGAAGCTCTGTTTCACACACGTCCAGTGGTGGAGCTCCTTTAACATTCAAAGTCTCTCACCTTTTGTGCTTGTGCAGATGACGGCTGGAAAAATAACGGCTTCCTCTTGCGAACGTCACAAAATGTTTGGCTGTCGAAACGTTATCTCTATAAAAGAGCGTACATTTTTCGTTTTGTTGTTCCATGATTAGTAGACGTCCAGATTTTAAGACATGTACCAAACACACGCTGAGTTCGTGAATTTCTGCGTAGGTGCTGAAAAGGGGTTTAAAATGATAGGTAACAAGTCACTCAAAGTGTGCACAAACTCAAAATCAGAAGGCAGAAAACACAAACTGCCTTCCCAAGCAGCTGACGCAAACACACCACAATGAACTTATGTTGATTGCAAGTGCTGAGGGTGCTACCATACGGGAGCGACGGTGAGGTGTAGTGGCATGAACAACTCTATCTGTAATGACCTCTTGAGCTTGGGAATTTCCTTTCATAAATCCACACTCACTACGTGACTTTACCGAAAGAACCAAAGAGTAAGAATGGGGAGGCTTCATCCAGCAGTGTATTGTCAATTATCTCAGTAATTGAAACATTAAACTGTGCTAAAATACGCATGAAACAAAACAAAACTATTTTATTTTACCAGGTAAAGCCAACTGAGCTGTTAGATCTTTTTCAGAAGTGACCTGGTCACACATCTCTAATCAAAGTGGCTGATATCACCGTTAAGTGAGAATTTATAGTAGCAGTCAAATAATCTCAATGTATGTTTATAAATGTGGAGGGAAAAACCGAAGGAACCTGGAGAAAAATCCACGCGAACTCCGAATATGCAACAGAGATCGTCAGGGTCGGAGGTCGAACCCACAACCTCCTAGTTACCAAGCGAGGAAGATACTACAGTGAGGGAAAACGTTTTTGATCCCCTGCTGATTTTGTACGTTTGCCCACTGACAAAGAAATGATCAGTCTATAATTTTAATGGTATGTTTATTTGAACAGTGAGAGACAGAATAACAACAACAAAAAATCCAGAAAAACGCATGTCAAAAATGTTATAAATTGATTTGCATTTTAATGAGGGAAATAAGTATTTGACCCCCTCTCAATCAGAAAGATTTCTGGCTCCCAGGTGTCCTTTATACAGGTAATGAGCTGAGATTAGGAGCACACTTTTAAAGGGAGTGCTCCTAAAACCCTTGTTGGCAATCACAGAGGTCAGATGTTTCTTGTAGTTGGCCACCAGGTTTGCACACATCTCAGGAGGGATTTTGTCCCACATCTCTTTGCAGATCTTCTCCAAGTCATTAAGGTTTCGAGGCTGACGTTTGGCAACTCGAACCTTCAGCTCCCTCCACAGATTTTCTATGGGATTAAGGTCTGGAGATTGGCTAGGCCACTCCAGAACCTTAATGTGCTTCTTCTTGAGCCACTCCTTTGTTGCCTTGGCCGTGTGTTTTGGGTCATTGTCATGCTGGAATACCCATCCACGACCCATTTTCAATGCCCTGGCTGAGGGAAGGAGGTTCTCACCCAAGATTTGACGGTACATGGCCCCGTCCATCGTCCTTTTGATGCGGTGAAGTTGTCCTGTCCTCTTAGCAGAAAAACACCCCCAAACCATAATGTTTCCACCTCCATGTGTTTGACGGTGGGGATGGTGTTCTTGGGGTCATAGGCAGTATTCCTCCTCCTCCATTTTGGTCTCATCTGGCCACGACACTTTCACCCAGTTGTCCTCTGAATCATTCAGATGTCCATTGGCAAACTTCAGACGGGCATGTATATGTGCTTTCTTGAGCAGGGGGACCTTGCGGGTGCTGCAGGATTTCAGTCCTTCCCGGCGCAGTGTGTTACCAATTGTTTTATTGGTGACTATGGTGCCAGCTGCATTGAGATCATTGACAAGATCCTCCCGTGTAGTTTTGGGCTGATTCCTCACCGTTCTCATGATCATTGCAACTCCACAAGGTGAGATCTTGCATGGAGCCCCAGGCCGAGGGAGATTGATAGTTCTTTTGTGTTTCTTCCATTTGCGAATAATCGCACCAACTGTTGTCACCTTCTCACCAAGCTGCTTGGCAATGGTCTTGTAGCCCATTCCAGCCTTGTGTAGGTCTACAATCTTGTCCCTGACATCCTTGAAGAGCTCTTTGGTCTTGGCCATGGTGGAGAGTTTGGAATCTGATTGATTGATTGCTTCTGTGGACAGTGTCTTTTATACAGGTAACAAGCTGAGATTAGGAGCACTCCCTTTCTGATTGAGAGGGGGTCAAATACTTATTTCCCTCATTAAAATGCAAATCAATTTATAAATTTGTTTACATGCGTTTTTCTGGATTTTTTGGTTGTTATTCTGTCTCTCACTGTTCAAATAAACCTACCATTAAAATTATAGACTCATCATTTCTTTGTCAGTGGGCAAACGTACAAAATCATCAAAGGATCAAATACTTTTTCCCCTCACTGTATCTCCTAGCCACCGCGGTGAATTCATATTGCTGGAGAGCTTGCTCCAGGATAAAGAAGCATTACATCCAAAATTACTTATTGAATGCTTGTGTGAACATGTGGAAGGGTGCTAAATCGCTGCGAGCAGATGGTCTGGTGTTGCAAGCTTATGCTATTTTGGTTGTAGTACATTTTGTGGGGTTGTAAGCATTTCATTGCACGCTCTGTATAAAATGCATATGCTTGAGTGACCACGCGCTATTGCCCGACAAGTGCGAACCATTTTTCTGAGGAACAATGAACGAAAATAAAAACTACATTGTATGAGAATGTATATGGGACGTAATGTGTCAGAGGCGTTAGAATACCCGGGTCACAATGTAAAAAAAAGTTAATATCTCTGGCGAGAGTTGATGGGTTCCGAGTCCTTTGTGGGATGTAAACATTAGTTGTCCAATGGAGTGACTAGCCCCTGTCATAGGAACGTTGAATGTTCACCTCTGGCTGAGACCATACATGGATACCAGCACTGCCCTATGGCAATTTAACTAGGAGAAAATAGAAACGTTTTATTTTTAAGAAAGCCACATTGGTGGGCCTGTATATGTATTTCTGCTGAGTTTGTACCTCGTATTTGTTCACTCTATGCTGGTAAGTGCAATCCAGAGGTTGAACACGAAATTTAACTCTCTTCTGAAATCCTTGGTCCACCAGGAAGTGTCTGTGTTGTTGGCCTGACTGGTTGTGCTTCACATAATGTTTCTTAGGTCTGTTGAATTCTCGTCTCTCATCTCCTTATTGTATTTACCTCCATGATTTGTTCTTAACACCTGATGAAGATCGCTGTGTTGTGATCGAAACGTCGTGATTGTTTTGTTTTAATAAAATTGTATTGTATCTCTACATACGTGACTTTACCGAAAAAAAAACAATGAGTAAGCCACATTGTATTTCATGACTCTTGTTGAGTATAGGTGGCCGGGTTGTTCAGGGGTAAAGGTGTTGAACCAACATTGCTGATTTCCTGAGTTCAATCCCAGGCAGCAACCTGTGATTAAACTGTGTTCCAGGTGTAGTGAGTTAATGGATATCAGCTAAGGCACTCATGAATGTACACAGGCAAGCACAAAACTGTGACATACATTTAAAAAAAATTGTTCTGGTTACATTCCAGCTTTGAGAATAAAAAAAAAATTGACTTCCAAGAATCAAACATTTAACTGTAGCAGAACATCTGTGACAGTACATCCTCTAATGTGCGGATAAAAAAGTCACTTAAAGGTATTTCAAAAGCAGTTCCATTATATCTGTTTCCTCAGGTTGTCATTTAACAAAGAGTGATCCACTTTTCTGCAAGAGTTCCGAATTAATTTTGAACTTATGACATGATGCTGATAACATTGTTGGAATATCATTTTGGAAAAGATAAACTGCAAATAAATGTAAAGGTTAGTTTAAAATGTAGGCTTTCGCGACCAATATTATTCATAATAAAGGTTTTTGGGTTAGATCGCGTTATTTATAAATGTGTCGTAACCCTCCACCACCCAACACGGCCAATCAGTAAAAAAGTGTCACGCTGACAAAAGACAAATAGTTCACTACTTTAGCCCACCGGTGTGTTGAAGAGTGAATCCACAACATTTACAGTTTGAGTACGACGTTTCGCTGGTAATTACATCCAGCATCATCGGGCAATTCGCCAGAATGGTAAAGCCCTCGCTTGCTTCCGGTCTTAAATAGAGCAGCAGGGTGACGTCATCATTTAACTCATTGGGAAGCGTATTATTAAATAATACATATTACAATTCCTTATAGGGGAAACATACCAATTAACGGATTACTAACGTAGCATATAATCACAATAACACACATTACAAATAATTACTAATCTACAACTCATTACTAATCATAACCATTGACTGATTACCAATCGATTATATAATTACAATACCCCCGCCCCTCTGCCTCAAATCACTGCACCTGAATGAGTTAAATGATGACGTCACCCTGCTACTCTATTTAAGACCGGGAGCAAGTGAGGGCTTTACCATTCTGGCGAATTGCCCGATGATGCTGGATGTAATTACCAGCGAAACGTCGCACTACTCAAACTGTAAATGTTGTGGATGCACTCTTCAACACACCGGTGGGGCTAAAGTAGTGAACTATTTTGTCTTTTGTTAACTTTTTTTGCTGATTGGCCGTGTCGGGTGGTGGAGGGTTACGACACATTTATAAATAACGTAATCTAACCCAAAAAACTATATTATGAATAATGAAAGGGTTTCTTTCGGAGAGGTGGTGCTTTGGGACATTTGGCTAATTCCCTGAAAATGTGTGACTCGAGAAACCCCATACATGAATGGGGAGAACACTCAAAATCTCAAGCGTTCTTGTTGTAGGGACCACTTGCTATTTGACGCATAGGCTTTCACGAACAATATTATTCATAATAAAAATGGCCCGATAATGCTGGATGTAATTGCCAGTGAAACGTCGCAGTCAAATTCTAAATGTTGTGGATTTACTGTCCAACACAACGGTGGCCTGAAGTAGTAACTAATAGGCATGTTTTGTTTACATGACAAACTTTATTAATTGGCTGTGTCGAGTGGTCGCCGGTTAATGCAGCATTTAAACTTACGTGATCTAACCTAAAAAGCTTACTTGCAGTACTGTCTCCTATAGGCACCTCCTTTTTGAGATTGGTGGTCGTCTTAGATCATTTGATGGCTCCATCTGTGCATGATCCATCAACCCCACTTGTATACATTCCCAGTCTCCACCACACCCAGGAGTAATTGAATTGGTCAAATAATTTGCATTCATGTAATATGATTGACAAAGGCAATATAATTATTATTTTAATGGCGACTGACAAGAATGACATTAATGAACTCTAAATAAGTTTATGTTTTTTTTATTTTGCACGATAATGACATTTAACGTTGATATGTGAAGCAGGTGCAGTATTTTAAACAAATCTACTGCAGCAATAGCGTAGTGAAATTGTATGATAATGGAGTAATTGCGACCATTAAAATATATGAGGCATGTGACAAATGTATTCACGTGGCCTCATGAATCTGCATACAGGCCCAGGTTGACGTCGAGTCTGAGTATATATTTTGACACTTGGTATCCCAATTTAAATAATGATGTCAATTCAGTTAACGCATAAACTGAATCGAGTCGCTACATTATTCTCGTGAATTTAGAAGGTTGACATCCCTTCTGGAAGCCATTTTCCAGCCAATGTTTTCATTTATCACCTTAGTGGTTTTGTTATTAATTAATGCTGCGTTGATAAAATAAGTAATTTAATAGCGTGTTTCCAGCGGTGAGAACTCTGATTACCCTGTGAGGCCAGGCTAAAGGTAAGTTTAGGTCAATCACAATTAAAACAATTGGTTAATTACTTTTTCCAATATTTGCATGTAAATATGACCTGTGTGTATTGCATTGCTCATTTTTAATTAATTGTACACATTGCACACGGACACGGCCTCATATTTTCATGAGTTATGTTTACATTGTACCCTATGTCCATTTAGAAAGTATTCTACATCCTACCATAGGATATGTTGTAAATTCACAATGTATATACACACAGAGAATACCCTCTATAATGTATGAACTGCTTATAACCAGCTGGGTGGCGCTATGGTAAGAGCACTCAACTTACAATCGCAAGGTCGTGAGTTTAAATCTCAGTTGGTAGGTGACTCGGCCCATCATTCATTCATGAGAACCAGCCCGTGGGACGTCAACGTTAGTCGTTCTCTGTCGCTAACTGGCCTTTCTGCTGGAGGATTGTGGAATTTCCGCTGCTGGCTCAGGGCCGCCAATGTTTGCAAGCCGTCTTTTACAAAAAAACACGCAACGCTTCCGTTCGTCGCATCACGGTGTGTACGTATGTGTGTTGAACTATGGAGGAGGCTTGTGAAGGACGTTGCTCCTGGGCAGTTGGAGGCAGTCACCCAACAACGGAGGGCAGAGGAGCGACGCTCACAACAACGAGCGGAACGCCGGGCGGCAAGTTGGCAGAGGAGGGGGGGGGGGGGGTTAACAGCTGGATGCATCTGCCAGTCAGCTCAGTCAGCCAACCCATGGCACCTGCTGGGTATGTCCCGTAACCCCGTGTCGGTGAGCCTTCGACACTTCACGAGGCCTAAAGGTGCACCTGGCCTGGCACAGGCGTGCCGTTGCGACGCCGCCGTCCACTTATTGGCGAACGGCAGGTCGCTCGCATTCGGTGTGTGTGTCGAACTTCGTTTTCGCAACGCACGCAGCCAACCACGCGAATCGGAGGTGCGTTGCTGAGGTTCAAAAGTTGTCGCCGTCATAATGCAAATTTCGAACGACAGCAGAGCGGTCAGGGCACGTGCGCTCTGACGAGATGGTCGCAATGCAATCCCCCCGCGCACCCCCCCCCCCGCCCCCCCCTGCCGACCCCTCTCCAGGTGGACGGGCAGCGGAACGTCTCCGGAGCCTCTCCCGGCCAATTATCCGGCCTCAACGTCTTCAGCCAACTGTACGTCGGTGGAGTGAACGAATTCGCGCCCGCGCTTCTGCCAGATGGGGCTCGCTTCCTGCAAAGTTTTCAGGGTAACGTATTGGATGAGGACGCTCTGTTAAATGAAGTGAGAATGCCATATTGTTTTTTTTTTTAAATACATATGAGTTCATAATAGCGGGGGTTTTTTTGGGTTAGATCGCGTAAATGTGTGTCGTTAAAACCCGCCACCACCCGGACAGCCACAACATTTACAATCTGAGTGCGACGTTCCGCCAGTAACTACAACTAGCTTCATCAGGCGACAGCCAGATGTGTGGAGAAGTCCACCTGTTTCGTTCCTTATGTAGAGGCGTAGATGTGGCGACCACACTTCTGCGCTCTCGCTGCATAGAAGCGAATAATCAAACAATACATTATTAAAATGCATGCCTATAAAGGGGCAGCATACTTCAATAGGGATTACCGTTGGTACGGCTATTTTAATACACACAATAGACAGGAAGGACAAGATCAAGGGGCTCGCATAACGCACATGCATCATGTACGTTGACTCAGTAATCCCCCCCCTCCTCCCACTTAGCTCAAGAGCGCAGAAGCGTTGGTACCACATTCACGCCTTCTCCACAAATCTGGCTGTTGCCTGATGAAGCTAGCTAAACTTGAGTGTTGTTCGGTTAGTTCAAGCTTCCTACTTACCCTGCCTGAAATACACTATAATACCGCTTCACTGTAACGCCACTTGAATGTACACACTTCGCACATGACTCAATCTCAAGTCCTGTTACTCAGTATTGAAGCTTCACACTTGGTTATAGAGCTTGAGACACATCCTACATACCGTACGGATCGTCAAGTTAAGAGTTATATTTGTGTCTTTAACAACGCGTGCATATAATTGAAAGCCATAAATCAATCAACTGTAGAGAGACCAAACACCTAGGCTATTTAACACCATTATAGACACTACGACGGTGATAGGTAATGCATGTAGTATAGTATAAAAAAGTGTTTACATAAGTAATGGAGCTGCCATCACGGATTGTCGTTGATGGATGCAACAATGCGTAGAGATGCTACAGTTGTTACTGATCGTGTGTCCCCCTTGTTTGATCATATTAATAATACAGGGACCAATGCGCACAACTGCACACTGCAGTATATTTTTTAATAAGCGTAGGAAACGTAATAACTGCACAGATAATTAATCTGCATTAGTTATCCAGGAAAGCCTAGATGAGTGTCAAGATTTCTTTTTTTTAATAAGGGTCCTACATTGGGATATTTTTGTCATCGCTTTTCAAGCAGAGCACAAGCGTGATGGCAATAGTTTTGGTTAACTGCACACCCTGATTGGGTCTATAGAATCTGCCTTTCAGATAAATTAAAGTGCTTAAATTCACATGCAAATTAAATGGTCGAGTTAATTGTAAAATTGATTATTAATTATTTGTTGAAATACACAATAAAATTTTGCTCATATAATTTAATAATCACCATTGCCGTGATTATTGTTAGTCACCACCATTAGCTGGTAAATAAAAAGCTATGATATAGTAGCTGTCATTAACACGAGCAACATTATTATTGTTATAGGTTAAATCTTGATTTGAAGCTTTCGTCACTGCAGGAATCCATACTCTTTGGTTCTTTCGGTAAAGTCACGTAGGTCGAAAAAATCATAATAGATCACGGCGTTTCGATCGCAACACAAGCGGTCGTCCTCAGGCGGAAAAAATAATACAGCAGTGGAACTGCTGAACCAGAGAGAGAGAGCTATTACAACAAGGTTATATACACTTGTGTTGCGATCGAAAAGTCGTGATCTATTATTATTTTTTTCTAACCTACGTGACTTTACCGAAAGAACCAAGAGTATTGTTACAGGTATGATGCCATTTTCACCATTGCCTTCCTAGTGTCTCAACAAGCAGTGTATAGCCACAGTCATCACGTGTCCATTTCCATGACCGCTTGAATCAATACAATTTAGACTTTACCTTCCCTATCGAGTAGCACGAACAATGTTTCACACTCGTTCTAAAATCATAAGTCACCGGATGATCCAAGTTTAATTTGTGATACCGGCCCGATAGTATTTTGAATCCCCACAATATTCTGATGGGAGTAAGGAACCCATAAAAAAGATATCCACATTACCACGATGTCAGGGCACAGACAATTTACAGCACCCAGATGATTTTCACCTGCATTTGCCACTTAAAGAGTGGGCAAATCCGTGACGTGACTTCACAACTAGTTACCAGACTGCTTTGTCATGATATTCCCAGCGGTGTATTCCCAGTGGTCTATCTGCTGGGAATTCAGACCGTTATTACCATGGCCATGTGAATTAAATTTCCATCGTAAACTCCAACACTGTTTCCATTTGGTTTGAGGCCAGGAATTGGTGCCCTTAATTCAAAGCCTGAGAGGTGCTGACCAACTCGGATCGGTAATTCCAAATCACATTGCCATCATGAATCCCATCTGGAATTCCGTTTGCGTGCATGCAACCGTGTCACGAATGATTGCTCATGAAAAAAAAAACACAATCGTAATCATCACTCATCGTCAGTCCGTTGTAGAGTAAAGGCTTCCCAATGGCACAATCCTTACCCAAAAACAACATGAGCAATAATTCACGACTTCATCTCTTCATTGCATGCCTCTGCCCCACATGTTTTCCTTCAGCTGTTATTCCTTGCGGCAACTAGTCCTGCCGAATGCAATTTCACTCCTTTTATGTCCGCCTGATGTGTTGGATTCTTGTTTGTTCACTAATCCACCGGTGTTTCTTCTTGTCTCCTTGTGTTATTCCAAGCGTGCACGAGGCATTGGGCCGTCTGCCATTGCAGAATGGCATCGCCAGAAATGTTTTGATGGTTTGCTAGACTTCGCTATGTGATTGCTGGTGAATTGTTGGACATTTGGATTGAACGGTAGCATCACCCATCAGTAACCATCTCAGTATTAATCCTCGTGTAAATAATTACATAACGTATTAATTGTAATGTACTAAGTTGCTACTTCAGCAAAGTAAACGCGTGCATGATAGGTTAATTATAAACAATAACAGCAGGAATGTAAAAGATCTCGACATTTAAGCTGACTGGACTCGCCATGGATATATTGAGCTTTAGAGAGAGCATTTTTAGTCTCGGTAGAAGAGGTTTGGTGGTCGGGGATGTCAGGCGATGGACTCACCTTGGCGCAATGAATATTTTAATACCTTCCAGGAGTTAATAATATGCAGACTGTCGTAATGTGTTTTCAAACAGGGACATCTCAGTGTGCCCCAGCAGTAGTTTGAGAGAAGCAGTCAGGCGTGTTATCCAGCAGCACCAATCGACCCATTTTGTCCACTACAAATGTCAGCCCTGTAGCAGACAGCACACAATGGTTCATTCCCTATAGAAATTACCCGTCGGCTTTAGGAATCGAGATCTTGCTGCTGCATGGAGCTGTGCCAGAGAACCCGTCACACTGCAAGAAAGTTATTGGTTCAAATCCCAGTTGGGAGTCGACTCATCCGCCTTCATCTCCCTGGGGTTGATCAAATTGAGTCAAACTTTGTGGGAATTCAACAGTGTTAGTTCTATGGATGAACTTATCCTTGCCAAAGGAATGTTGAATTTACACCTATGACTTGAGTCTATTAACAGAGATGAGCATCACCCAACACGCAATCACTCTGGAGGACAAAGGCTTTATAATAATCTAACCTTGGTACCTTGCAAACTGGCTCAGAGGCAAACATCCTAACCACGAGTCTGACCGGTCACTTATAAAAATATACCTGTTCAGTTTTTGTATTAAAGTTCCCAAAATATTTTTTGTTTGGGTTAGATCGCGTACATATCAAATGCGTCTTTAATCCCGCCACCACCCGACACAGCCAATTGGTACGGTTTATGACGCAAACAAAACATACAAATTAGTTACCACGTCAGCACACCGGTGTATTGGAAGAGTAAACCCACAACATTTACAATTCGAGTACGACGTTTCACCGGTGATTACAAACCAGCTTCATCAGGCGATTAGCTGGCTCCGGTTATTTTACAGCCGCGTTTGCGTGCATTTCTGTAAAGCCCATGCTGCACTCGCCGCCTATTCTTTGGCGGACAAAACGATCGCCGTTGCCACGCGAGCTTTCGCCTCACCCATCGGCGGACTCCGGCATGTGGGGGCGCGTGCAGGCTGTGTGCTGGGCATCTGGGTGCGCGCCGGCCCGGGGGACGCTCCCAGCGTCCGCCTCTCACACCCCGTGGCGGGTCGCAGTGTGGGCCAGTGCCTCTCCAACCCCTGCGCGCTCCTCAGCTGCCACAATGGAGGGACGTGCGTGCCGCTGGGCGCCTCTGTCTAGTCAGTACGCCTTTTCTCACGCGCCCGTTCGCTCGTCGGTCGGTTGTTAACATCCTCGTCACGCCATGGTGACACCGTCATTGTTGTTGTTCGTTGTTGTTGTTGTTGCAGAGTTTTATTCGCAGCCAGAAGGTTACGGGTTAAAATCCCAGTGAGAAATTGATGACTCGGTCCTTCATTCATTCATGGTGGATGGAATAGGTACCACTCTGCGGGAAGTCAACAGTATACTTCCTCCGGGCAGACTGGCCCCTGCCATTGTAATTTGGAATTTCAATTGCCCATCAGTGAATGTTTACGATACACGTGAGAGAAAACCGGTGCACCCAGAGAAAACTCATGTATGCGAGGTGACAACACTCTATCCCATACAGAAGGGACAGATTATACCAGTCCACACTTTGCCGTACTGCATTCCACTGGCAAGCCAGGGCATGGCACCTCGATGCCCACGGGTAGGGCGTTGTGCAACATTTTGTCATTTGTACGGTTCCACCAACTCTCGCCTCCACGGTGCTGGATTAGAAGCCGCGGCGCGTAGCCGCCACTGCCCGTGTTTATTGTTTGATCAGTTACCCCAAAACCCCCTCTTGCCATCGCCAGCTGTCGCTGCGCGCGTGGCTGGCGAGGCGGCGAATGTGCGGAGCGCGCGTGCCCGTGTGGGGCCGACCACCGGCCTGCCCACCGCTGCGCTGCCGGAGCCACCTGCGTTCCTCTGCACCCGCACGGCTACACGTGCCGCTGTGCTCTCGGCCAGGCTGGCGCCTACTGTGGCCGGGGTGGGACTCATCTCCTTCTGCCCCCACCTCTCCCCCCACCCCCCCTCCTCCCCCCTCCCCCCTTATTCGGGCCGTGACTAAATTCCCAGTAGTGATTCATTCCCAGGAGTGATTCTTTCCCTGCAGCGACACTTCATTCCCAGCGGTGACTCTTTACCAGCAGTGATCAATTTCCCAGCAGTGATTCATTACTATCAATGAATCCTTGTCAGCAGTCATTCATTGCCAAAAATTATTAATTCCCAATGGTAACTGGTTTCCAGCAATGAATTATTCACATCAGTCATTCATTCCCCACAGTAATCCACTCCCAGCAGTAATGCATTCCCAGCATTGATTAATTCCCAGCATTGATAAATTCCCAGCAGTAACTCATTCCTACCAGTGAATATTTCCCATCAATTATTAATTTGCAGCAATAAATCATTCCCAGAAATCATTCATTCCCAATGGTAACTCATTCCTAAGAAATTAATCATTCCCAGCAGTCATTAATTCCCAGTAGTTAAGAATTCCAAGCAATACCTCATTCTAACCAATTATTTTTTTACCATCAATTATTCATTCTCAGCAATAAATCATTCCCAGCAATGATTCATTTACAAGAAGTGGCTCATTAAAAGCAATAACTTATTTCCAGCAGTGCCTCAATCCCAGCAGTAAATAATTTCCTGCAGTGAATCATTCTCAATAGTGACTTATTCCCAGCAATTACTCATTCCAAGCAGTGAATTATTCCTGCATTGACTCATTACCAAAAGTGACTCATTCCCAGCAGTCAAACATCCTCAGCAGTGACTCAACCCTAGATAATAAAATAAAATTAATCTTGTATGCATATTGTTATATAATTTCCAATTATAAATTCTCAGAGAACATTCCATTCTCCTGTCGGTTGGCAGTCATTTTTCGTGCATGATTTTGTCTGCTTGTGCTTGAAAATTGCAACTATAATTTTTTTGACGATCGTTAATTAATTTCACATTCCCGGTCTCTGTGTCTCTTCAGCCTTCATGAGAGTACTTGTCTCACGTCTCTTTCTCTCTCTCTACCGTGTTGGTGTGTGCATTTCACAGCTCTGCAAATCAGTGACCCTTCGTTCAGCACTAACCAATCATCGTGGATGGCATTTGAGCCGTTTAACGTGCGGCATGACACCCACATCCGTATCCAGTTCATGCCACGTTCCGGAGAAGGGATCCTGTTTTACACAGCTCAGCACCTTGCTGCACGCTCAGGTATCACTATTTGAATATTGATACGCCACAGACTACACGGTGTATTGGACAGGGCGGTTGTTGGACCATATTTTACGAGAGGGCTGAAAATCATATTTAAAAAAATCATATTTAAAGCGAACAAAATGTAATCAGCTTTAAGTTATATGTTTTTTTTTACTCTGACGAGTGATCTAAGCATGTGTTTTATACAAATGTGATGTCTTCACAGCCTTTAAACTCAGATCGCTGTGTTCATGCTACAATGCGCTAACCACTGTGCCACCACTCTATTCCTCGCTCCACCTCCCTGTTATACCTAAAATAAACTATTCACCAGATAAAGCCAACTGAGCTATTGGCTCTTTTTCAGAGGCAACCTGGCTATGCATGATAGCTCATCGAAGTGGCTTTATCATCATAACACGTGGGAATTTATCGTAGCAGCCAAATCATCCAAACGTATGTTTTAAAATGTGGAGAGCAAAACTGGAGAAAAATCCACACAACCACTACGGGGAGAGAGAGAACACACAAACTTAAAATCCTGTATATTGGCGTCGTCAGGGTCGGGAATCGAACCCATGCACTCCTGTGTACCAGGCGACGAAGATAACATTTCACGTTACTTACACGTGCAGTATATGCTAATGATGTAGACACAATACACAGCTCGGGATGTGAAGTATCATTACACCGCGTCCTTCTGACATTGTTGGGTGACGTTTTATTACAGAGATACGTTACAAGAGTTACATAAAAATGTCATAATGGTAGATAACATTTGTTAGGCAATATAAACCCAACACAGATGAAGGGCATTTCAGGCCACGATAGGTAACATCACCTGCTGGGACGTGAATGTTTACTGAACACTTCTTAAAACTCTTGAAACCAGTAAAGCGTAATGTACGCCCTAAATAAATGTTATCGATACATTTTGCACATATTTACTGTGGTTTGTCAAAATGTTGTAGAGTACATTGGCACATTGCTTCATTTAAAACACGTGTTGTCACCGTACTTTCACATTCCATGGCCAACGTTTGAGATGGGTTCGATCGTAGAGTAAAAACAAACACGTTTTGTTATCATACAATTAAACAGGCTGTTGCCAACCGCTCAATCAGCCATCCATTTGCGCACAGATTTGTCCATCAATTTTAACATATCTACACAGGTCAGTGTAGATAATTTAATTATAAAAATGCGACTTAATTTTACAAATTAAAAGATCTGTGCCATCATATTGGACATGCTGAGGTTCAACATGCATATATTAAAGAGATCGTCATTTGGAGAAATGTAAATGCCCTGAACATGTATTATTTTATCTCTTGTTATTAATAATTATAGTCAATTCAGGCACATTTGAGGATGCAATAGGTCGGATAAATAACTCCACGTTTCCAAAGTCATTCATGTAAGCCATGAAACTTAACATTTAACAAAATTGAATTGTTTTTGAAAATGGTAATTACGACAATTCACTGACATTCAATCGTGTGATGTATGTATCATTGACAATCCCGTCCCTGGTTATAACTGAATATAATGTGTTGCACATTGCTTATTTTGACATTAACGTTCATCACTGTATCCTAAATACATTTATTCAGCAAAATATCGCTAACATTTACATTTTAATGTTGTTTAGGAGTATGACGAGTTGTTTGGAAGGGCGTATGCAATTTGTATCTGTCCTATCAATTTCTTGATAACTTTATAATTCAAATTAATGACACTTATTTGCACATTAAAGATAATTGGAAAACCGGTAACTGTTCAGGCGATAGGTAAATGCATCAATTGGAAACACGCTAGAAGGAATCTTGTAATGCATCATTGAGTCGAATTCCCCATCGGGAGAAAGTTGTAAAGAGATTTAGAGAAAGGAGGGATTCCCTCTTTCTAAGTGGCATAGATGGAATATGCAATATACAATACTTGTAACCTGGTAAAAAAATTCATATAGGCATATCCTTTATGTAAATAGCTGCTCCAGCTGAACACTGCCATGCTGAAAGTATTCACTTGTGATTGGTTCTTCATATGACTCACGTGCCAAGTGATTTGACGAATCATTGCATACTCCAAGGGTCTGTTGCATGGAGCTCGCGTTAAGGCTCAATGAGATAACATTGTTGCAATTGCAGAGTCCCCTGAGTGACAGCAGTTTTGGATAAATTACATTCTGAAGTTATGAAACAAATGTTAATCTTTACCTAATTATCTTTTTTAATTTTCATGTATTTTTTGCTGCTTATATTACGGGCTTGCACAGCGACGCGACATAATTGTTTTATTTAATTAATCTTTGCTCTGTTACAAAAAAAATAATTCCCCCTTTTCTCCAATGGGGCTGGTGCTATATGCAGCACGTGACTTTATTTTAAACACGCAGCTGATATTTTCACGTTTTAATATTTTAAGAAATCCCAAAAACTGTATTGGGAATGTTGGCCGATTGAACATGCACACATACTTGACTGGAGCTTGCAGTCAAACCATCCTGAAGTATTGTTATGTTTATTTTGTAATAAATTATGTCTACATATAAATCATATTTTAAACCTAAAATGTGTAAGGTAGGGCCAGCCTTAACATATGTGGTTCCCTGGAAGGACAAGATGTTTTGATGATGCGAGAGGTTTTCATCAGGTGGGGAGAGGATGATGGTTTCCTATTTCTGTCTCACTGTGTTTTTCTCCGCCAATGTTTCTCCTTTTTCCATTTCTCGGTGTCTCTCGATGCAACTCTACGCCCGTCTCTTCTCTTTGTCTCTTCTCTCTGTCCCTTCTCTCTGTCTGTCTCTTCTCTCTGCCTGTCTCTCTCTCTCTCTCTATTTTGCGGCACCTCTGTACAGTTTTGCACCCTACACAACCATCTTGATCAACACCCCCGCCTCCAAGGCCAATGCCTGACACTGTCAGGTACTGTGTCAGTAAACTTTTGGTGTTTGTGGCAGCAAGCACTTATTTTAATCGCTTAAACTTCAAACCAATTATCAATGTGCTCATCTTGACAGAGCACACTCGTCCTGAAAGCACTCGGTGTAAAAATCAAAGCCGTATTTGCTATGGGGGGTAAAGTACCTTCCCCAGCCGGGTTCACGGCAGATATCACCAAATTCCAATCCAGACGAAATGTGTTGCCAATTGAACTTCGAGAAAAGTGCTTTGTTTCCTGACTCGAGCTTCAAATAACTCTGGGACCTCATTGGAATGCGATCGCGAACGGCTTCGGCTTCACTTACCGGCCTCCAATGCCTTCGTCTTCCGCAACACTGCCCCTTAATGCAAAGGGTGAAATGAAGCACCTGTGTAGTTCATTGGAGAACTCTCTATTTACAGTGGCAGAGCTTCAAATGGATATTCCATACACAGGAAGTAAGGTGCTTTGCCTCTGTGTTGTCTACATAGCCTTGCATTCACGTCTTGGGGAGTCTTGTTCAATACGTGGAGTATAATGTTTCACTGATTTAGAATAGGATATATGCGCTGCTGAGAATGTTAATTGAACGAAATGTCCACGATTATATTAAACATTTGATATTTAAGGCAGTGTTATTGATACATGTTTTGAAATTTTGCCTATTTGTGCTTGTGCACCACCGCCATCCACCACACTGGTCACTGTGGGTTTGCGAAATTTGGGACCAGAATTGGCTTAGATATCACTTGCATTGATAGTATGGTCGTCATTGGAAATCAAACTCATTTCTCCAGATTCATCGCACGGTGCATGAACAACTGCATCACTGCCGCACCTCCTGTACAGTACCTATGCATTTTGTGAAATGATTGTGGTTATTCTTGTTAATGCCATTGTGGCTTTGAGATAAGTTGCATTCCATAACATGGTCGCATCTGAAAAAGAGCTATTTAGCTCAGTGGGCCTTGCCTGGTAAAAAAAATAATAAAAATAAAAATGATGAAAAAATATTGTGAAGTTTTTTTAGCAGCATTATAAACAAAATCTACATTTATTCATCTCGTAGGATAAATTTTCCAAAACTGAGCAATCATCCAAAAGGAGAGCCTCAAGATTCAGCAATGCTTTTTTTTGGATAAATACATGTTGATTATTCCATTCATGATGGAAAAAGGTGCAACATGACTGAGATAAATAAATGTAATGAATGTCAATTCCCTTGGCATTTGCACTGTCACCCAAAAACGCAGGAGATTTTCTGAGCATCTCACTCTCGGGCGGCTTTGTCCAGCTGCGCTTCAACCTGGGCGACGGCACTATCTGTCTCGCCTCCACGCGCCCAACGGATCCGGGAATGGAAACGTGGTACACGCTGGAGGCCGGGAGAGTTGGTAACTCGGGTTACCTCTCACTCAACGGTAAGAATGTGACAACGCGTGAGCGGCTGGGCATGAGGGCACTCGATGCCAAAACCAGTTTCTTCGTGGGTGGCGTTTTCCCCTCAAGCGCCATCTCATCCTCTGCCACCGAGGATGGGCCCTCCGCTTTTGACGGCTGCGTGCGGGAGGTGGTCGTGAACGGGCGGCGGCTCACCTTGACTGCAAACGGCGCCAAGGGAGGGGCCAACGTTGCGGACTGCGACGGGACGGCGTGCGGCCATGAGGTTTGCAAAAACAACGGCCAGTGCCGGCCAAAAGGCGGCGTCGACTTTGAGTGTGTGTGCGGCGAACATTTTACCGGAGCTGCCTGCGAGACTCCAGTAGCGTGTGTGCATCGACCCTGCAAAAATGGAGCCGCCTGCTTGCCGGCGAATACAGAAGATCTCAATCTCTTGGGGTATGTTTGCGCATGCCGCCTACAATTCCAGGGACAGCACTGTGAAAATAAAATCACGTTTCAGACAGCCGGGTTTTCGGGCGACGGGTACATCAAGCACACGGACGTGAGATATGACCGAAGGAATCTTCTCATAAATGAAATCTCATTCAACTTCACCACAGAGTCCAAAGACGGCCTTCTGCTATGGCTGGGCTTGGCCAAAGACGGATATGATGACTACCTGGCTGTGGGACTCGAAAGAAGCCACCTCAAAGTGGCCGTCAACCTCGGTAAAGGCATCTCTGCACCAGTAGTCATAACAGTGACGCATTTGTGTAAAAACGAGTGGCATTCTGTTATTGTGCGGAGGAAGCAAACTTTGATGTGGGTGTATTTAGATGGAGATTTGGTTGTTGCTGAGGATCTTGACCCCCACAGGCGCTACAAGGCTCTGAACTATGATGCCGTTTGTTATTTAGGTGGATTTGAGCTGGGCAGAGATGTCAGCCGAGTGACATTTAACCTGTATTCTCAGCGGCTTTATGGGAAAATGAGAGACGTCCGTCTACATCCAGACGAGGAGGCCATCGACTTCGCCTTATTTGCTGAAGGATATAATGTCCACGGAGCAGATGAACTTTAAACTCTTGGTATAATATGCAGCGTTCGTTATATGTTTAAAAAAAAATTGTAAGAGGGAGAAGCCTCAGGGCAGGAACGCTTGGCATTTTGAGCTGATTTAAGAAAACATTGGTGACAGCTGGAGCCGATTTGCCTAAATATCACAAAGGGCAGCCTCTTTTCATGCATCTTGAATTGTCGGTTACAGAACAAATGTCAGAATAACTTTTTTTATATCTTGCGTACAGTGGAAGTAGAGTGATGAAGCTGACTGCCCCTTCTGCTCGCCCCAGCCTCGTAGTGCTGTCGCTTAAAGAGGTTTCATGAATCGTCTGCCTCTGCCTATATACACACACTCACACATTCATTTTTCTGGACCCAACTTATTTAATGTTTGTAATTCGTATTTATTAATCTATATGAGACTCTCTGTTGTTCCACCTCCGCAGACTAATTGTGTGCAATAGACCGTGAAAAAGCATTCACGTGTTGGACATCTGGTCAATGGAACCTTAGGGGCCGTCCATAAATGACGTCACGCGATTTTTAACAGCATCACAAAAAGTCAGACCCCTCCTCAAATATGACGTTACAAAGCTCTGCCCCCCCCCCCAAAATATATAAAACATGCTTAAAATCGCTTTAAACTATTGTCATTGTAGTGCGTATTTAATGTGGCGCTGAACTCGGATGTTGTAGGAGAAAACATTTATTTAAAAGTCTATTTAATTAAATAGAACGTGTTGTCTATATTTATTTAAAGTTGCGCATTTTGATGTGACGTCACATTTCTCACCTCCCCCCCCCTCGTCACACATCGTCACAAATGTCTGACCCCCCCCCCCCCCAGGTGCGTGACGTCATTTATGGACGGCCCCTTATACGAATTCGTACGTTCAGCATAAAGCAGAAGCTTCGCATAACGTTCAGATAATTCAGTATTTATACGAAAAAGAAAATGCAAGCTTCACAATTTAAATGAATTCAAGATTCAGAATGCAAAAAACAATAATTCCTCCTGCACCATGTTAGTCATAGGGGTTTTTAATCACACTTCACCACGCTGATCGATGCATATTGGTGAAAGAGAGGGGATTCGGGACCCGGTTCGGTTATCACTCGCCCCAGACGTTAACTGTGGCCGGGAGTCAAACTCGGACATGCAGGATTCATAGCAGAGAGTGGTTGCCACTGCGCCAGAACTGCACTCCGATTCAGTATTATCAAACATAGAAATTGCTAATTACATAGTGTCCAAATTCTTGGTTCTTTCAGTAAAGTCACGTAGAAGGGAAACAATAAAATAATAATAAAAATGTAAAACAATAAAATTCTCACGACGTTTCGACTGCAACACAAGCAATCATCATCGGGTGTGAAAACCACAATGATGATTGCTTGCGTTGCAGTCGAAACGTCGTGAGAATTGTATTGTTTTATATTTTTATTATTTTATTGTTTCCCTTCTACGTGACTTTACCGAAAGAACCAAGAATATGAATCCCTGCAGTCACGAAAGCTTTAAATCAATACATAGTGTCCATTGCACGCTTGATAAGCATGAAATAGTAACGATCCATTGCTTATATACTTAGTTCTTTCGGTAAAGTCACGTTGAAGGGAAACAACAAAATAATGAAATGTATATAAAACAATAAAAAATTCTCACGACGTGTCGACCATAACACAAACGGTCGTCTTCAGGTGTGTCAGTTTGCATAAATTTAATTAGCATCAATTATTGTGCTCAAGATTCATGCGTCAAAATGGTATGTAAGAAACACTTATTTTTGTATGTATGCAAATCTAAGTAACACATGACATGCCATTCTGTGTTAGCATCATGGTGTAAAAAAACAATACAAATGAGACAATGAACGAGAGAGCAAAATGAGATGGAAAAATAATCGACTGTTTAATGGAATCGTGGAAATACATGAAGTTGCCCACTTACTAAAGTCTGGGTATTTATTGTACTGTACTTTCGACCGTGAAAAGGTTGGACACTGACCAGAAATTCTAATGGGAATTATTAGTATGCAGACAAGGAATGCGTTCATTTGTTTTATCTTGCCCCATGCAATATTGCACTTCAATATAATTAGAACATTTGTTATTGTTGACAAAACAAAAAAGAGGTACAGTAATTGGTTATTTCTTGAATCATCTTCCCCGAATTACCCCAGCCAAAATTCCTTTAAAAAAACACACACACACATAATTCATATTCTTGGTTCTTTCCGTAAAGTCACGTAGAAGGGAAACAATAGAATAATAAAAATATATATTTTACCGAAAGAACCAAGAATATGAATCTTGGTTCTTTTGGTAAAGTCACGTAGAAGGGAAACAATAAAAAATATTTTTATTATTTTAAATAAAAAATATATTTGTATTATTTTATTGTTTCCCTTCTACGTGACTTTACCGAAAGAACCAAGAATATGAATCCCTGCAGTCACGAGAGCTTTAAATCAAAATTTACACACATTATTGTCTTGTGGGTGTGCCTCTAATTAATTAGTGTTGTTTTACTGCTGGAATTGGAATGAAATGTTATTGTTGGAAATGATCTCTGCCCGATGTAATGATATCTGAAGTTTATGAAGTTAAATCGAATTATGTTTGTGCTTTTCTGGAACATATAGTTTCCGATGTGTTTTGATGATGTGTGAATATGATACAATATTTCCGTGATATGCATTTAAAGAATATATACATATGTATGTGATACAAATGTAATGGTATTGTGCTAATGTTCATTGTATTAAGAAGTATATTAATGAATGTTCAAGTCTTCTCTTCCTTTGATCCCTCCTATAAAACAAGGTGCAATTTTGAGATAGCCGGGTGGGTCAGAGGCCAGAGCACTGAGCTGGCCCCTCAGATATCCTGGGTTCAAATCCACATTCCTGCCTTTGATCGAAACGGATTCTGAGGTACATTATTCCCTCGTTTTTTGCGAACTTGCTATCTGCAATTTTAGCTATCCATGAATCGCATCTGGAACTCTACACGACTGTGTCGAGAGAGAGAAAGTGAAGGTGACGAGAGGGAATGTGATGTGATAAAGTCATGAGAGAGAAAACGTGATGAGATAAAGATAAGAGAGAGATAACTTCTCGAAGCTTTATAATCATCTACAGACGTTGCACGACCGTTATTAGTGGGCCAATATGAAATTTTGGCATTCACAAACATCTGCGGAAAGTATCCCTCGCGAATAATGAGAGAATATTGTATAACGAGCTGATGGTCTCAGCCCAGTTTGTAACCGCTGAACAATAAAAACATGACATCAAGTTGGCTTTTGCACTTAATTTGGCAACATTTTATCTCCAATAAAGAGAGCGGTCTCAGCCCAGTTTGTAACCGCTGAACAATAAAAACATGACATCAAGTTTGCTTTTGCACTTAATTTGGCAACATTTTATCTCCAATAATGAGAGCGGCCAGGAGGAAGAGGCTATGATAGGTGAGACACGTGTACAGGATAGAGGAGGGGTCATTTTTGGAGTGGCAATCGAGAGACTGATGACCAAGATTATGGCTTCAGCTAGAGTCGGTGCAATTTCATGATAACGTTAGTCAGAGTAACATACCATCTACATCGACATATTTTGTAAAAAAGAATCACGGAAGATTTACGAGATAAATAACTTTTGATTTAAAGCTTTCGTGACTGCAGGGATTCATATTCTTGGTTCTTTCGGTACTTAATTTGTAGACGCCAGGGTACTGTATGTCCGGAATCACATCTTTTACAGACAGAACCAGATCATGGATTTTATGTAATGTGTTGAATCGAACCTGGATCTTGTGTTTATTGAAGATTTTGGAGATTTTTTTTGTGATCCCCGCAATGTAGGGTAAAGTGATGGTTTTGAAAGGCTCCTCAAGAGGGTCCTTCTTCATGGTTGGAGTGATAGCTTTGCGGATTGTGTAGTCGGAGTAACCATTAGCCTTAAGAGCTTGGTGTATGTGCTTGAGTTCACTGGCTATGTGTTCCTGGTCGGATATGCATTGGGCTCTATGGTGCAGATTCTTGATGAGGGAATTCTTCTGGGATGGATGGTGGTGGGAATCCGGTTTCAGGTTAAGCATCCGTATGGGTAGCTTTCCTGCAGACAGAGTGGCTCATTGAACCATCAGGTCTCTTTTTAATTAGGACATCCAAAAAAGGTAGCTTGCCATCTTTTTCGACTTCCATGGTAAATCTGATGGCTGGGTGTATGGAATTGATATTGTCGAAGAATTGGTCTAGAGCAGGCCGGCCATGTGGTCAGATGACAAAAGTGTCATCCATGTACCTCTTCCATAAGGTTGGGCGCAGAGTGGCAGTCTGGATGGAGTCAGTCTCATATTTCTCCATGAAAATGTTGGCTACAACCAGAGATAGGGGGGAGCCCATTGGGGTGCCCTCAGTTTGTTTGTAGAAAGTTCCATTCCAAGTGAAGTATGTATTGGTTAAGCAGTGTCTCACCAGGGGGGGTACCTCAGTGTTTAGTCCTTGATGAACCAAGTCTTCAATGATTGCGATGGTGTCAGGTACAGAAACTTTGGTGAATAAGGAAACTACATCAAAACTGACAAGCAGGTCGTCTGGGGACAGGGAACTACCCTTGATTGTCGATACCAAGTGAGTAGAATTTTGTACCGCAGAGGTGGTTTTTCTCGTGAAAGGCCGTAGGATTTCAGACAGAAAACGAGCCAGTTTGTAGGTGGGGGAGTTGATAGTAGAGACAATGGGACGAGGGGTGTATCTTCTTTATATATTTTTGGTAAGCCGTATAGTCTTGGTGGCCTGGCAGCAGTAGGTTTCAACGAAAACTGTTTGGTTTGATCAATTAATGCGGTTGAATCAGAAATTATTTTGTTGGTTTTTATGACAAGACTGTTGGTGGGATCTCTTTTTAATTTTTGTATAGCTGCCATCATTTAGTAATTCTTAATTTTGTAGTTATATTCTATTTTATCCATGATGACAGTGGCATTGCCCTTGTCAGCTGAGAGGATAACAATGTCATCCCTCTTTTTTAATTTATATAATTCAAAACGCTCATCTTTGCTAAGGTTGCTAGCTGGCATCTTAGCGTTTTTGAGGGTTGCAGTGATTTCAGATCTTGCTACGTCTGCAGCGATGTGACCCAGGCCCTTGAGAGCCACGTCTACTTGGGCAATGATATCATTAACTGGTATGTGTTTAGGTGTGACTGCAAAGTTTAGCCCTTTAGCTAAAACGGATTTCAGACCATCGGCAATAGAACTGTTACTGCGATTAATTACGACTTTGTTAACGTTTAGCTTTTTGGTGTGTGGGTCTGGTCTTATGTTGGAGAGGAGGTTAAATTTGGAAATCAGGTTGTCCTTACATTTGGTCAACATAGTGGCAACTGAAGAGGCAGTCATGTTGTCTACATGTTCCAAATCCGATGTGGACATTGTTGCCGTCAATGATAAGTGTGATTTGTAGAGTGTCTTGTCTAACTGATCTAGTTCGGTGCGTATAAGTCTGATTTTCTCTGAGATAAGAGCTAAGCTAGTTCTGTAAATAATTCGTTTCGCATTAGAAGAAGTTACAGCAGCAGAGGTCAGTGTAAATGCGATTGGTATTACCCCAG